AGGAGAAGCCCGCCGGCGGTTCGATTAAAAACGAGATCCGGCGGGGAAAGGGCGATGTAGTGGTCGTCCGGCCGGCGCACCACGACAGGGCTGCAGGAGGTCCAGAAAGAAGAAATCACCCCGGCGGTTTTCTCAGGTTCACGCGCGTTCCTCCCGACGGTGGGGTCGAAACACGTGAGATCGAGGGTGTGGACACCTTTGGGGGGTCGCGCACGCGGCGGGCGGTGGGATCGCGTGGTCAAGACGTCTTGCCAGCCCTGGACCACGCCCTCCCCGCTCGGAGCAGTTGAGTTACAGGGCATGGGGATATTACTTTTAGGCACCAGGATGCCAGTTCCACTCTGCGAATTCTTTTCCGTACTTCGCGCAAAGTCCCCAACCTTTCTTTCAATGTTTGACGCAGTCAAGAATACGCGTGAACTCGCCATCTGGTCGAGCTCTGAAAACGTCGCTTCGGACTGCGTGCATGCATCGACTCGGTCGCGCGAAGCCGCTTCCAGCTGCTGGCCGATGGTCGTCGCGAGCCCTTGATACTTTTTCTCCGCCGCATTGAGGTCGATCTCCACAATGCTGTGCAGCACCGAGGTGGCTTCGCTTTTCGAACCACCGCCTGCTTGTGGTGGTGGTTGCAGAGGTGCTGGGGTTTCGTCAAACGACAGGTTTACAAAGGACCCTTGAAACGACATCTCGCCATTAATTATTTCAGGCGATGGCTCCCGCAGAGGGAGTTGGCTTTTTTTCAGCTCGTCCACGGCTTGAGGGGCCGGTGGGAGGCCACCGGGTGTACTCTCGCCCGGTGTCGTCATGGATTCCAATCGCTTCATCACATCGGTGCCGTTCTGAGACATTGTGTTAATATTAACATTCCTCAACCCCACCAGTGACATACGGACGGGAGAAATTGCCTTTGGAGAGCGGATGGCAGTGTTTTCGTCAAATTCTTTTACCACCATTTGAGTGTGCGCCACCGCTTCGTGCAGCTTGATCTCTTGTTCTCTCACAACAGCGCGCAGCTCATCACAATCGGCAGAAAGTCGATCTACTTCATCATGCATCGCCTCCAGCTCTCGCGCGTCTTCAGCGGCTTGAGCCTCATACCTAGCTTGCTGGGACTTCAGTTCCGACTGTAGTGTTACCACTTTTGTGAGATAGGTCTCGAGCACGTGCTCTTTTCCCACTTCCAAGGCCTCCATCGTGTGCTGTAAAGACTCCCTCTCCGCCTCGAGGTCACCGATGCGCTCACGATGCGATTGCGTCTCCGCCTTGAGCTCTCGGATTTGCGCGAGAAGAGCCTCGGTATCCGACACATAGCGGGTTTCCTGACGCTGCAATCTCTCCTGACATCGACGCATCGCCTCCCGCGTGGTTGCCATCAACGTGTTTGCCTCTTGCTGAGAATTCTGCACCTGAGCAATGAACGCGCCGTGCCGTTCAGCGGCCTCCCTCAGTTCCCTTTGCAGAGCCTCGTTTTCACGCTGAAGGTGCTCCTTGTCCGCCTCAGTTGCGTGCAGTGCACTGCGCACGTGTTCAAGCTCCCTGCCGAGGGCGTCTGTGGCCTCTTGATGCGCGCTCTGGCTAGTCCTCATTGCGCGCTGTGTGGTTAGCAGCTCCTCCTCGAGGGTTCGCTTTTCATCTCGCAAGGATAGGACCTGGCGCCCCAGGGTATCAAGCTCCGCTTTGAGCTGTCCGATTTCCCTCACCATGTTTGGATGGCACTCCTCGTTGGGGCTTTCTAACTCCTGGGGCGGCTTCGCACTCCCAGTGGATTCAACCGGGATATGACTTTCCAAGGCCTTCCGATCCTCCACCTGTGGAGCTTTGCTGAGTTCATCCTTGGGGCCCTGCGGAGGGACGATCCCCGTGGGCGTGGCGGTTTCTGCCAGGCTAAGGCGCCGCTTGAGTATCCACTCATTTGCGAGGGCGCCCGAAACCCGCGGCGGAACCGACCGCAATGTTGGTTTTCGTTGTGGAGGGCGAGACCCCTCCGCGGCAGTCCCGCCTGGAGCCTTCGTCAGCGAGGATGAGGGCCTTTCCTCGCCACTCGACTCCTCTGACCGGCGTCCATGAGTGGCTTCTGGGGCTGAGAGGCCATCCTTTGTTTCGGTTGGGTGCACGGAGGCTGGAGGATTCGGGTGAAACCCCTGGGATAGCTTTCGCCACGCTCTATCTTCCCCTTGAACGAGTTGGTGACGATACCGCGACTCCGTATCCTCCTCTAACTTTAGCTTGATGATATAAGTTTTGACAGTAGCCCCATCTTCCTTCCCGAGGGAGCTTTTCAATGTCGTTAAAACGCTTTTAGCCTTTGCGGCAGAAGGTGCACCGTTTCCGGTGCACCTTAAGGTCGGCATGAAGGTACATGGAGACTTGGGGGCATCTTCAGAAAAATCAGTTTGACCTGTGCAAGTTGAGCTGATAGACGCCTCTCTAGGAAGTTGTGAAGGCAACACAGAGAGTGGCATAACGGTTGATGAAGCTTTGTTTTCTATAATAAACGAAAAAGTATTTGGCTTTGTTGTTTGTATAATTGTTCGCCTTTTACATAGTAAGCTTATAAATAGAAATATATAGGTCATGTTAATTCACGATGAGGAGAAAAACAAGAAATAAAGCACAGAATATGAACCAATTCAAATGCTCAAATGCATAGCGAGCAATAAGAAAAAGTGAAGATTGCGACATGAACGCGACGCTCCAAAAAGCTTCTTAATAATAATATTTTCAGCACGTTCACCTGGAAGGCTTTGTATGGCAGCATTAGAAGGGGGCCTGAATAGTAGCTGTTCTTAAATATTCATTGCAAGTAATATTCCTAATGTATCTGACCGCATGTACGGCCCTTCTGTTAGTGGTACATCGTTGTCAGGACAACAGTTATTCCCTCATATTCCTTTTCACTATAAAACCACCAACCATCACGTAAGTATTCTTTTCTATAAAAGTGTAAGTTTCACCGATAAATGTTCAAATAGAACTGTGAATGATTACAGGGAAAAAATCAAATGAAACACACCATCCTACAAGGAGTGAAAAAACAGGTCACCACTGTCGGTAGTCAACGTTTGTCTATGTAATGCATTTCACATATTTGAGTACGTACTTCACAGACATACCATAAAAAAGAAATGCTATGAGAAAGCTAAAAAGGAATCAAGTGAAAGGATTCTAAATCGTTTTGCATGGAGAATTCGTCTACTATTGCAACCATTTAGGAATAACCTAATGAGATCTAAAAGCGTGTGACTGCGTCCAAGTTGCTTCGACAGACATGAAATTAAAATGGCCAAAGAGTCATGCAGAAAATAATAATCAATAGGTACGACTAGACAATAACTATTTAATTTGTATGTACAACTAAAAAATTAGATCTGTGATTACGACTTCGGAATACATGCATGTTTTATCGATGGGTGCATTGTCGGCCTCTTTGCTTGTAAGTCTGTCTTCAACTCTAAACATGCTTGCCCAATGCAATGCATGTACAGTCTCACATCCTGATAAATCTCGCGATATTTTGTGTGAGCATCACTGGATTTGTTGCTTTGACTAAATATATTTCTCCCTATGTCGGTCATATAGAGATTTAGAGATGTCAATGAAAGCCACAAGTAGTAAATACAATAACGTCGTTCCTATCATCCAAAACAATGCCCAAATCACCCATTTCAGGATGCGATATCCCCATAACAGAGGCTTGAAAAAGAGCGCTAAAAGCACCATTATGATCACGCTGGCAGTGCACTGTTGTTTAGGAGTTTTCTTTGAAGGAGCTGAGGGCAGGGGCAAGTTTGGGGTTTCACCATAGATGTTTGTGATGCTTACCTTTAAGGTAATTCGCGAGCGTGGCGGTGATATATGATCTGCGGCTTTTTCACCCGTTTGAACATCTCGTTTTCCAACTGATACCGCATTACTAGACTTCACCCCTATTTCCCACGCTTGCGTTTTGCTTTCCGTGAGATTCATAGTAGGAGGACACGCTCCCTTTTGAAATTTTTCAGATGGCGTCTGGTGGGCTAAAAGAAGATCCCTGGATTTGGCCATTTTAACCGACCCCGAGCTGGATGGGCGCCAGGACGGCACTTTGGAGGCCTGAGAAAGGTTTGCGGCGGTGAAGGTGTGGACGTTCGAGGGACTTCTTGAGTTGCTTCGAGAGAGCACCGGGGTCGGGGCGCGCTCCCGTTCACAGGCCGACAGGGCCGCGACGACTGGAAGGGCCTCCATCGGCGCGAGGACCTGCCCGACGTCGAAGGTTCTTTTCGGGGTGGTGGCGATGGGGGAAGGGGTGTTCGGGGTGGCGGAATCGGAGATCGGGCGGCTGTACGAGACGTCGTCCGAGGACACCGCGTTGAGGGAGTGATGGCGGATCCTCCCGCCCCGCCCCACCTCACCGTGGATCAAAAGATCCAACGGGAGCGATGGCAGATCGAACGACTGTTGCAGAATGGCCTCACCGGCTGTAGGGCTTTTGCCGACCAGAGCTGTTAGCGATTGAAAGGTTCCCCCTTCTGAGTCCGTGGCAGGCGAATAAGCAGCATCTCTAAGTGGGTTTGTGTCAAGTCCAGCATGTGTATTGTTATCCATCACTATATTTAAGTCTGAGATTTGGTCAAAAATTCCACCAAAAGATAGCGAAAAACAAAATAAATAAATCGAGTTGGATCAATTTATTGTAAAGGGTCAACGTATAGGAATATTCTGAACGGAATAAATAAGGAACAATTCTGGCGTGTGTACGTGTTTCGAGGTATATATCAATTTTACCATTAATAGCTTTGTGGTTGTGTTGTGTAGAAAACGATGGAACCCTTTTTTTTTTGCGTCAAATGTTTTGGGTTCTGAAAATTTGTCCTTTATTTCTATTCTTTATTTATATTATACTATGAAGTTATGTCAGTTTACTTGAAAGTGTTCTATTGAAATAGGAAAAAAAAAACTGATAATCTTTTGGAAAAAAAATAAAGACTTCTGAAATGAGAAACTAATCCATTAAACAAATCGCTTGTGAATTGGTGCATTAAGTGTTATACAGTGCATAGAAAAGGTAAAATGCATACCACCATAAGATTCTAATGAGGTTATTGGATAGCAGTAATAGAATATATTTATATATATTTCACTACCCGATTGGTTGATCTCCCAATCGCCGTTAGCGATGCACCGTGCAACTAGTTTACGATTTAACTCAAAGACAATACAAAACGTGGAGATAGAGGAAGGAAAAGATAATATCACTAAGTTGATGTCTACATATATAAACACACACCCTCTTAATCATAAATGCAAAAAGTCAAAATCAATGAGTGATATTTTAAAAATAGGAGCAATAGTTTTTATTAAGTTTTCAAGGGAGGATACAGTGAACTTTTAAGTATATATACAACAAAGGTGGTGTAGTACACGATACACCGCTAGTGGAATATGTAGTTTGCCGCTTACAATAATTCTGTAAACTCTTTCGATCGTGTTAACAGACTTTTTTAGTAACGAAAAAAATGAGAATGCAATGAAGGAATGTGACAGGGTCTTTAAATAAAGAGATAGGGGAAGCATTTCGCTTAAGAGGTCTCGTTTTCTTTTAGGTAGTGTTGGATTAAAGGAATAAATTTTACGGTGGGATTCGATTATAACACCACACTCGCACACACAAAAAAAACAGAAATGTTATACTTAAAACACACTCAATGAGGTTTCAAAGAGTGGGCTCAGGATCATTTTATGGTAATCTATGGACGATTAGTAAAAGGAGATTGGGAAAGCACTAAACGCATATACCTCCCTTTTCATTTCTTCAAGCATGTCGGTCATTTTTCCTTCTTAAGGAAGAAGGGTATATAAGACGAATGATTCCTTGTCACCATCCCCATAAAGGGTTTAGAGATTTTTCGTAAGTTTTAGAGTGCGTAAAAGTTCAAAAAAAAGTTTATCCTTTTTGTTTTCATTGTGGGCTAATAATGTCTATTGAAGACATTAAATAAGTGGAAATGGGGAAGATGATTTCAAAACAAAATCATGAAGGATTTTTTAAGGCAGTGACATTCAAGGATACAGCTTTCATTGATTCTTTATTTTTATCGCAGCCTGAGGTGGAGGCTTTTGGATATTTTTCTAATTCTTCTTATCCCTCCCCCAAACTCCTCTCCTGTGTGTCTACTTCTCATTGTCAACAGCGGATAGTGGTAACAAATTATATAAGAGTTTGCAGATAATCCTCACAGGTTGAGTAAATATATTATAAGGCTGATAGATATGAACCTTTATAAAGATTGCTCTTTTAGGATGTATCACATCAAGGTCGCAAAAGATGCATAGTAGAAGCAACAATTACCAACAAATCTAATTAAATTATTACCAACAAAGCCGAAACGTAGATATACATTATACACCAGCAAGAATCAAATCTTAGTTTGAAAATGAAACTCGAAAAATAGTAGAAAAAGGACAATAACAAATGACTGATTTACTCATTTCAAGATCAAAAAGAACCCTAAAATAAAAAAGTACAGAAATCAATATAGATAACACCTTAATCTGCATGAAGCACTCCATCACATTCCCCTCCAAAAAAGAGAAGAAAATAAATCTAAATAAATTACATGTGGCCAGCTTCCACAATACATCCATAACACCGATGGGCATGTATGTAAAAGTATTACTGCCTTTAAGGGAGAAAGGAAGGCATAATACCAATGTAATTGAAAAATTCATATGACTTAATCCCTCACCTCTTCCCCCTTTTTCAGTTTTTTTTTTAAATTACACCTATCTCATGTAATGGCTTTTTTCTCCTTCCTTATTTCTTTGCATCTTTTGGGACGTCGTCGTCGAGCTTTGTCCCGACAGCCAGATGGGTAACCTTCTTTCCTGACGCGTCGATGGTGGGTGGTTTGTCGATATACACACACTGGCGGGGAGGCGCCCTCGGGTCGTTTCTGCCCTCGCGTATGCTCGCTGGGATCGACATCACGGTACGACAGCGTGGGCACATCGCGAGGCTCGTGTTCTGTGGAAGGATCAACACACAACGGCAGCAAACGCAGGTGACGCTGAACTGATGGACGGTGGTTACGGTGGAGCACATTGGACAGCGAACGGACGGGGCACCGATGGGGTACGCTAGCGTCACGTAGCAGCCCTGGCAGCTAATTTGCCCCGTGGTCTGGAGCTGGTGTGGCATGGTAAAGAAAGAAGTAGAAAAGAAAAACGGAAAAGGAGGATAGAGGAGGG